GCGCAACCGTCGCATTAACTACAAAAGTTTCTAAGGCCCAAGCCCAGTAAGTTTATCGAGTTGACTAAACCCGAAGTGGGGAACTCGCTTAAGCCGAGCTCAGTTCTTGCATTCTAAAGAGAAAGGTCTGATCAGCCTAAAAATCTCAAAAGCATAGCCACATGGCCACAAAAGGTTAAAAGCGGACTTTGCAAACCCGCATATAATTTTAACCAAACCCCCTTGGGTCACAACCTAGTAAGGTTTAAAAGCCTCCTCAGGCAAATATCTTGTTCAAAAGAAAATAAAGCCTCCTTAGGCAAAAATAAGTTCGAAATTAAGTCTTAAAGTAAAAAAGGGACAATCCCCAATTTAAAGTGGACACAGCCACTACGGAGTGACCTCCACCTCGGACTCCGGCTCAGCAACCAAAGTTTCATTCACCTCCTTGACTGGTGCTTGATCAGATGAAGCTCCCTGACCACCCTCCGCGGTACAACCAACCTCCGGAGAAACCTCCGGTACCATAGGAGCTATGGGCGGGACAATGCCTTCCGTCTCACTTGAACCTGGAAATAATAATTCCAATCAATCAAAGGTACAAGGTAGGAAAAGATAAGCCTCAGGAGCCAGGCGTTACCTGCCCAGTCTAAACCCGATTCACTTATAGGAGGTGATTCAGTAAAGAATTCCTCGAAGTCAAGCGGGTTGAAGGTCGAAGTGGGAAGAGCTGCCAAACGACTCCGTTTTTCAGAAAGATTAGTTGACAGCTCGGTCCTTTCTTGCTCCTCGGAGAAATCTGCTTCATGGATTTGATCCAGCAGAATCAGGTTGCTTTCATGCTCTTTGATGTCTGACTCCAAATCCGACCTAGCCTACTCGGTTTGCATGAAGCGAATGGCCCCTTGGATCAACTCCATCCCGCGTCCCTTAACCTCCTTTCTGGCCTTCGATGCCGACCTTGCCAACTCAGAATCACGCAACTTGGCTAGCGCCTTGTACTTCGCGTCAAGCTCGATGAGTTGATTGTTCAGGGTATCGGCGGTTGATTCGGACTCTTGAAGCCTACCCTGAACACCAGAAAACTCTTCCTGGAGCTTGAAGTTCTGGTCGTACTGACCTTGCAGCTCCCCCTTTATCTGCGCAAGCTCTGATGTTAAACTGTCGACTTTGTCCTCCAGATCGTGCTTGGAGCCGACAGAAGAATTAAGTTCAGCCTCAAGGGCAGAGAGTTTCTTTTTCCACATGTCAATCTCTTTCTCCCGTCCAATGACCAACCCTTCGTAATGTTCGATCATGTCGTTAAGTTCGCTATGAGCCTGGTATCATACATGAACCCGGGATGGCGAGTCAGTTCGCAGAATGGCAATACAATAAAAACAAAAAAAAAAAGAAGAAAGGAAGAGAACGGAACTAACCCGAGATGAATGATAAGCGTGAAGCAAATAGCGTTCACGAATTGCAGGGCGCCATTTGTTGAAATCTGGCAAGATCGAACCCGAACGGGTCTTGAAGCATCGAAAGACGCTTCCTTCTGTCTCCATAGCTGCGAAGAAGGAAGAATTGTAAATATTGGAATTTTAATAAAGACAAAAAGTTTAAGCATGTGTAAATCACCAAACCTGAAAGCGATTTGACTTGAGGGACAAGAGCAGGCTTCAGCCTCGAGGAAGCATCTCGAGATTCAGAATCTCCACTTTTAGGGGATGCACTCCGAGCAGTCTTTTCGCTGCCGGGCTGGGAAGAAGAAGACATGTCAACAGGTCGGGGAGGACCCATTGGTTCAGTAGGAGGGGAGGATCGAGGTGAACGGTCAGTCCGGGCCCTGGATTTCTCCCTTCGCGGAGACGAGTCATCACGGGACGACTTGTCCCTCTTCTTACGAACTAAATTCTTAAGTGGTTCGTTGCTGAAATCGTCTCGGGGAGGACGAGGAGAATCACGACGAGGAGACCGCTCTCTCCGAGGAGAACGTTCGTCGCGGCGTTCGCGGCGAGGTGTTAACCTATAAGCAGCAACGGATCTGGCTCCCTCGGAGCTGTTGTCATCAACCAGCAGGGTCCTGCTGTAATCTTTTTTGTCGATGGCGGTCGCAAGGAACGCCTTGTTTTCATCACAAGCCTCTGCTATCGGCTTGGAGAGCTTCTTACGCTGGGCAGCGAGGGCCCGAGCTGACATTCCCTGAGTTGAGGGAGGAGGCGGAAGATGATGAAGTAGATTGGGAGGACTCATCCTGAGTTTCCGATTGGCCTCGACAAATCGGTCGAGGGTAAAAGAATTCCAAAGGGTTTCCCCTTCAAGGATTGTTTTGAAGAACTTAACAAATTCTTCAGTCGGGAGAGTTGAAGCTATGAAAGCTGCGAAATGAAACAACGAATTCAGTCAGTAAAAAATAATAATAAACAGTAAAGGAATATACGACCTAGTCTCTACCAGGTTTCGCAGACCACTTCGATGGGAGTACATCGGAAAGATTCCCAATCGAAGCAGGAGTTTTCTTAATCAGAAACCAAGGATGGTGCCAGTATTCATCCTTGTTCGGGAGGTGCGAGATGACGTTTCTATTGGCATTTGGATACGCCGAGAAGTACCCAGTTTTCTTTGATGAACTCCTTACGCTTAGGAGTTCATTCAGCTCGGGCACTCCAATGACGTAGCCAACCTCCGCCGCAACGGTTATAATCCCGAGGATGGTTTGGAGGAGATTGGGGGTTAATTGAGGCAAAGCGATCTCAAGAGCCGCCAAGAATCGAACTAGGGCTTCGGGAAGGGGGAAGGTCAATCCACAGCCCTTGAAGTAAATTTCGTAAACACAAAAGTAGCCGGCACGGTGGTTCTCAGGAGATTCCGTAGGGTCGGCTATTTGCGCCTCTGCTATAATTCCAGGAGGAATTTGACAAAGCCCCTTCAATCGCTCAAGGGATTGAAGAGTACAGGTGGATTTGTAATGAGGACCGGCGATGTCGTTAGGACGAGTGCATTCGTCATTACTAGAACGCCTCTCGTCGTAAGACGGAGATTCAGGTCTTTCAGAATCAGAAGTCATCGAATAAAAATGAAAAATTCAAGATCCGGCGGAGAGAGGTTTTTCGTGAAGAAGAAAAGAGAGAGTTTTTAATTAAAGTACAAAAGTAAAAGAAGAGAGTAATGGTGAAAAGAAGTTACCTCAAGCTAATGATGAAACCGCCTCGGAAGTTGTGTGGGAAGTGGGAAGGTTTTTTCCCGTTTTAATAGTAATTTATCAATATACGGTCATAATGATGACAGATGTCACTTGGTTAAAAATGGCTAGTGCCGAAATTAAAGGAGTAATGAGATTTTCGGCGGGAAATCAGAAAGATTCTCGAGCGCAATCTTTGGCCACTTGAGCATTTAAAGTCCTCCGAAATGGAATTGCACTTCGAAGAACTTGGGGGGCTAATTGTTGGTGTCGGATCCCGCACCAGAAGTCCGTGACCAACCAAAGATTGCCACGTAGTCAAAATAAGGGCCCATAAAGGACGAAGCCCAATGGACCCATGAGCCGAAGGAGCGGTCGAAGTGGTCGTCACCACTTCGAGAATCCGAAGTAAATGCACTGTGACACGAGTTCGGTGTAGAAGACACGGGTAAGTCGGTTCAAGGACGCTTGGGCCAAAAAGGCGAGGCCCATGAAGATCAGAGTCAACTCAAATTCAAACGTTGAGCATTGAAGTCAAAGAATCAAAACGGACACATTTAAGAAGGAATAATTGTACTTAATTACTCATTTTAATGTCAATTCTCTATGTATAAATAGAAAGGCCAATGGCCATGTAAAGGGAGCTTCCTCTCAAGAGAGAAAATACTATAGCAATTTTCGTATCAATTTATAAGTTTTTACATATTCATTTTTGTCCCTCAAGAATAATCTTTCCCACTTAACAAAATACTTGAGTGTGTGAATCCGACATCCACAAAGTTGAGATAATAAATTTCGAGGAATGAGAACAATATAACGCCAAGGACAAGTGTCGAAACAAATGAAACAATGTTCTCCTTGCTCCCGCAATATTGTCCTCCCGTGTAGCGATGATGTGACACTCGATAACTCCGTTTGAAAATATAACAGGTTTTTGCAAAAAAAACCTCCATGTAATTTTTTTTTTGCAAGACAAACTTTCATGTCAAATAAATGCAGGTCAAACCACAATCTCAAAAGTCACCTGCAATATAGCCCTTCCCTATATCGATGACGTGGAAATCGATAACTCATTTTATGTAGAAAAGAATTCAACAAACACTTACATCAAAATTTTGACATGTGTAGCATAGACTTCTATAACCTTTTCGGACAACGACGAATCCGAGAAAGCTATTCTACACATGTCAAATTTTGATGTAAGTGATTGTTGAATTGTTTTTTACATAATCGGAAATCTTTGTTGAATCTTGGTTGGATTTTGGTTGAATTTTAAGTGATTCATATAAAGTTTTGAAGTTTTGGTTAAATTTTGATATACTGGGGCATGCCACATATGGAAATGGTGGGATGAGGCTCTGATGGAGGAATTAACCTAGTTGAGGCTCGAGATGCATGCTATTTCTACATTACATAAAATGATTTATCGATTCTACGTCATCGATATACGGAAGGGATATATTGCAGGTGACTTTTGAGATTGTGGTTTGACCTGCATTTATTTAACATGGAGGTTTGTCTTGCAAAACGAAAATTACATGGAGGGTTTTTTTTGCAAAAACCCCTTATGTTTTCAAACGGAGTTATCGAGTACCACGTCATCGCTACACGGGAGGACATTATTGCGGGTGACTTTTGAGATTGTAGGGTTGACTTGCATAATTCAGAGTTGGAAGGTAAACTTTCAAACGAAATTGACTTAGAGGGTTGTTTTGCAAAAAAACCCATTCAAAATTGATTCTTTTTGAAGCAGTGATGATGTTTTTTTTTTTTTTTTGGTAGGGAACCAGTGTGATATATGACAAATGGCTACAAGTGATAAAATAACCTCAATAATTGCTTATAAAAATTTATAGCCATTCATTTTCACAACAGCTGGTCGTCGGATAAGAGTCCACTCTTCTCTGCTCGATCTATTACTAGCAGAGATCTAAAAGCATAAACAACTCTTCCTCTAAATATTCATTGGAAGAAAAAAGCGATTTCGAGAAAAGGTGAGTCATGTTGATTCAATTACTTTTCTTTCTTTAGTTTTATGTGGAAGCAAGTTCTCGGATCTTTTTTGTGCATTTGATGTCTTCTAATCGTCTTTAGTTTATGCACATCATGATATGTAATATTCATCGTGCACAATAGAATATGTTTTACCTTGTGATGTGAAACAAAAAATTATCTTTTTGAAAGATCTTAAAAATTCCTCAATTATATCTGGAACAAAGCAAAAACAGAAAAAAAAAAAAAAACATTTAACTATGATTCAATTAACCATCTTAATTTAACACTTTTAATGATTCACAGCAACAACAAAAAACGAAAACTGAGAATTATAATCTGAGTCCAAGACCTGAGTAAACTTATATATCTGCACAATATTTCAATGCTAGATTGACGTTACTTTTTTTGTTTTCGAAGTTTAAGTTTACTCTTATAATTAGAAAATATGAAAGTTTGATGCCTAATGTAATGAAATACATATTAGATGTCAAAATTAATGTGTAAATACCAATTCTAATGAACTATGTTATTCATTGAGAAATTGTTAAAAATACTCTTTGATACTCATTTCCAAATATACCCTCTTTTCTAGCAATTTTCATTTATGCCCTCTTTCAATTTTTTATGACCATTTTACCTCTATTTGAAAAATAATTAAGTCAACAAAATCATAAATGTGAATTTTCCCGCAAAAAATCTTTTCAACAAAAGTTTCTCGAAAGAATATACAAGTGTTTTAAAAGAGCTTTTAAACGATTTATAAGGGTTTTTAAAGGGTTTTTAAACGATTTAAAAGGATTTACAAGAGTTTTAAAAAATTTTTTATAAGGGTTTACAAAGGGTTGTAAAGAGTTTACAAGAGTTTTTAAAGTGTTTTAAAAGGATTTACAAGTATTTTAAAAGGGTTTTAAAAGGATTTATAAAAGTTTTAAAAAGATTTACAAGTGTTTTAAGATTGTTTTAAAACGATTTATAAGCGTTTTAAAAGGGAGTTAAAACGATTTAAAATGATTTATAAGAGTTTTAAAAGGATTTTATAAGGGTTTACAAAAGGTTTTAAATGATTTTAAGGGTTTACAAATGTTTTTAAAGATTTTAAAATGATTTTTTAAAGGATTTACGAAGATTTTAAAAGGATTTGACTTTTAAAGGATTTACAATGATTTTTAAAGGATTTACAAGGATTTTTAAAAGATTTGACTTTCACATTATATTCTCTAAATAAAAAATGGTAATTTAGTCATTTAGCATATAATGAGAGGTATTTTAAAAAATGGAGAATAGGAGAAGGTATTTTTGAAAAATGACATCTAGGAAAAGAAGTATTTTTGCAAATGCCCCTTAGTCATTTAGTCATCTCTAGTGCAAGTCTCTTTATATAATAGAGTCACTAGATTTTAACCCGCGGTGTACCGCGAGATGATTTATTTTTTAAAGTTAGTATATATAAAATTTGGCAAATTGTATCTCCTTATAAAATATTTTATAGTTTACAATTGTTACTAAGTAACGGTATACCATGAATGCACGAGACAATTGTTTATAAACTAAGGATTTAACCCGTATTAAAGCGGCATGTTAATGATATTTTAAAATTTTATAAATATTGATTCAAACTCGTCCGCCATATAAATCCGTTCCAAAATATAACCCGTCCCGTAATTTCTTAACCTGTCCTGTGATTTGTTTTCTAAAAGTAGTGATTTTAAAATTTAATGATTATTTATTATATATAAAAATTTACAAATTGTATCATTCTCTAAGACATTTAATTTATATTTTAATTAACTGAGGATTTAATCTGTATTAAAGCGCCATGTTAATAATATTTTAAAGTTTTATAAATATTTATTCAAACTCGTCCACCATATAACTCCGTTCCAAAATATAACCCGTCTTATAATTTTTTAAACCGTCCCGTGATTTGTTTTCTAAAAGTAGTAATTTTAAAATTTAACAATTATTTATTATATATAAAAGTTTGCAAATTGTATCATTCTCTAAGACATTTATATTTTATAGTTACAATTGTTATTAAGTAACATTATACCACGGAACAATTTCTGGGTTTATACAATCTTTTCTAAATGTGACTGATTTGATATGTCTAATTTTGGTGGTATTTAAAAAAAAATAAGGATTTAATCCGTATTGAAGCGGCGGATTAATAATATTTTAATTTTTTTAATTATTGTTGATTCAAAAACCTGTTCCGCCATTAAAATATCGAATCATTTGTTGATTCAAAAACCTGTTCCGCCAAACCCGTCCAGCAAAAAAACCATTTATTTTATTAATGTTGATCTTATTTATGATATGATTCTGAATCATTGTCTAAATATTTTAGTCGATGTGGAACGTTGAACTCACATTTTACGTTAATTGGAGAATATATGTCCGTCTTTAAAATATCGAATCACAGTATATGCAAAAAAAATTGATTTTTTTTTTACTTTATGTATTATATGATGATTCAAAACAGTTAAAAAATTCAAACAAAAATGATAGGAGAATCATATTTCTAAATCTTAATTTAATCTTCTAAATCTCTAAATTATTAAATATGGAATATCCGGTGTACGAGTTGGGTTAAATATAACCTGATCCAACAAACTTTTTATGACCAAAATTTGTAAACGGGTCGGATACCCATTGTATCCAAATGCATTTTGCTCCACCCGCTAAAAATGTACTTCAAAAATACTAGTATAGATAGATTAAATAATTTTGACATATATTAATTGACTTATATAATTGTTTTCATTAAATGTGTTAACTATTACAAAAAAATATATCTAAAATGATTTGCGAAGTAACCCAATAAGAAGAAACTTAAAATTTTAAACTATTTAATTTACAGTTTATAAAAACATTTTTTAAAATTATAAGCAAAGATAAACCAAATTATTTTTTATGTACCCAAAATTTGTAGGCTATAAAAAGATTAGCTCATATTTACTGAGAAAAAATAAAATATTTGATTTACACTTTATATAAATTTTTTTAAATTAGAATTAAAACAAAATAAAAATATTTACGTACACAAAATTTATAGTGTATAGTGCTTTACAAACCTTAGATTATATATGAAGAAATTCGCTGGAATTGTCTTATAACAATGGTCCATTATATATTTGTGTCTCTACTTAAAAAATATCACTTAACTAAATTTACTGTAATAAAATTGAAGAAAAAGTGGCATATGTCGACTAAACAAAATACCACTTTACAAACCTTCGATGAATGCTTTTATTTTCCGAAGTTACTTTTGTAAACACTACTCCTCCGAAGATTTTCCGAAGCTTTTTAATAATTAATGTGTGATTGACAAAAAAAAAAAAAAATACCAAATGGCAGTTTCTCATAACTTTTTAGAAAAAACTTTACTTTATTATATTAAAAATATCAAATACTACAATAGATGTGACTAAATCAAATAATATAACTATGAATCAGAGGGATAAGACTGTTTTTTTTCTTAACTATTAAAATTAATAAAAGAACTGTTTCTTCAAAATGAAAGTAGCAGATTTTTATTCGACCACCACTTCCTATCTTATTGAAATAATAAGGATATTGACTTAAGCAAAACTAGATCGCACATATCAAAATAGTCTTTATCTTCAGCTTTTGTAAATTTGTAAAGTATTCATGTATGCTAATAATTAATAACAAAAATGCAAGTAGCCAATTTTATGGATTTAATTGTTTTTTATTTTTCGCACGAGTTTCAACTTCAATGGGAGGTTCCTTTCCTTGCTATGGTTTCCTCTTCATTACCTCTAATTTAATACTTACTAATGTAGTAATGTTTCCTCTAAAGCAGGACAATTATGGTTGACGCAATTGTGTCGTTTGGTGTTGAAAAGCTTTGGGAACTCGTGAGCGAAAATTATGGGAGATTTCAGGGAGTTGAAGAGCAAATTACTGAGCTAAAGAGTGATCTGAAGATGTTAATGTCCTTTCTGAGTGATGTGGATGCAAGGAAACAAACAACTGATCTTGCAAGAAACTGTGTGGACGACGTAAAAGAAATCACTTACGATATAATTGAAACATATCTTCTAAAGCGAAAACGAAGTGAAAGCAGTGGCATCAAGAATCATATGAGAAGTCTTGCTTGCATTCAAGGTGGTCATAGGAAGACTGCCTTAGAAATCACAAGCATTAGTAAGAGAATCTCCAAAGTGATCCAGGTTATGCAGACTTTAGGCATACAATCGAACATTATTGAAGGTGGGTATTTGCAGGCTCTACATGATAGAAAAAGGGAGATGCGTCATACATTTCCTATTGAATCTGAAAGCAATCTTGTTGGTTTGGAGAAAAATGTTGAGAAATTGGTTGAAGCTTTGGTGGGAAATGATAGCAGTCTTGGGGTATCCATAACTGGCTTGGGTGGTCTTGGCAAAACCACCCTTGCACGGCAAGTTTTTAATCATGATAAGGTAAAAGATCATTTTGATGGACTTGCGTGGGTGTGTGTATCACAAGAGTTTACGCGGAAGTATGTATGGGAGACCATCTTGAAGAATCTTAGTCATGGAGATTACATTGCTGATATGAAGGAAGACAAACTACAGAAGAGTCTTAGTCCTGCAGATGAAGTTTCTGATATGAACATATCACAAAGGAAGAAGATTTCAGATATGAATGAAGACGAACTTCAGGAGAAACTCATTCAATTGTTGGAAACAAAAAAGGCTTTGATCGTCTTTGATGACGTATGGAAAAGTACAGACTGGGACACAATAAAGCGAATTTCCAGAGAGAAAAGGTGACCTCTTTTAGTACAATATGCGCTAAGCTATTATTCCCTCCGTATTTTAATAAGTGTCGTTTTAGGATTTTCTTTTTTTTAAAATTAGATGTCGTTTTCAAATTTCTATGCAAAATTTCTTACTTTTTAATGTTTTATGACATCATAAAACATTAAAAAGTAATAAATTTTGCATAGAAATTTGAAAACGACATCCAATTCAAAAAAGTAAAAATTCTAAAACGACACTTATTAAAATACGGAGGGAGTATTTTATTACCAGTTGATTTCTTCTTTTTCTTTTTTTCCCTTTTAAGGAAGATAATCAAAAGGCCCACAAATTGCTCATAAACACTTATGTTGGTTAATTGCAGCTGGTTGGAAGGTGCTGCTTACTTCTCGCAATGATGATGTACATCCACAATGTGTCTCCTTTAAACCAGAAGGCCTAACTCTTGACGAATATTGGAAACTCTTACAAATGATAGTATTTCCTAAGAACGGCACAACTGGTAAGCTTTACATAAACCGACCATATATCTATTTATATATATAAAATCAAACTATTTTTTTCTCAATTTCTTTTCATAAAATTCCCTCTTTTATAAGTTTGCAAAAGAAAATATTAAACAGGAAAAATATGAGTTTCGTATTAAGCTTCTTGCTGTGCAATTAATTAATAAATTAGAAAAAGGAGAGAGACAAAAAAAAACACTTAACTATATAGTGCAAATTATTTTTCTGGCTTCTTTTTAAAACTCATTTTCTATTTCTTTGGGGTTTTCATTTTAGAAAATGCTAAACATAGTATAACCCAACTTTGTCCAAAAAAAAAAAGTATAAACCAACAAGTAAAGCAATAGAAAATTACAGAGCTATTAAAAGAAAACTAAAGTAAATTCAGCGAGATCAAGCAAACAAAGGTAAAAAGACTATAAACATAAACAACCACAGATGAGCCAATATTTAAAGTAGTGGATCACGAGTAACACAATTGACTAGTTAATTAGATTAACAACTGGATTATGATGCTAATTAAGGCATTATTCATAAAACTCAATCCTAGGATATGAAACACTCGAGCAAAGTTAATCCACTTCCATGACACCAACTACTTCATTAATCACATAGTTAAACTAAGCTCATATTTACTGATTAGACTTTAGACAGTCAACAAGCATAAATTACAAATTCATTTGATCCACTAAACACCTTAGTCACAAATTCTTTTTTTCGAAACATGAAGATATTTTAATGATTCTAAATGATGTCAAAAAATATAAGAACCAAGCTCACTAAATACATAAAACTTGTCCAGCAGCCTAGCAAAATACATAAACAATTTTCCTCAAATATAGATAGCACGACCAACAACGAAAACATCAGATGGATTTGTCACCTTAGATGCAGCTTTCTTAGCACCTTTGGCTTGCCATATTCTGCGACCCGCTTTGGGAAAACAGCATCAGGAACAACACCGCTTGAACATGAAGCAGAAGCTTCAAGGTTTGAATCTATAAATTCGGCTGTCCACACAGAATGTTGCATCTTGCCTGAAAACCCCAAGACAAAATATTTCAATGAAAACTAAGAAGAGCATGAGCCGAGCTCAGTCTGACCAGCAAAGAAACTAACAAACCTTTGTTATATGACGTCATAAGAGGTAGACGGTCACTTGTCCAAATTGTTCTCTCATCGTAGTCCTTCATTATGTTCAACTTCCCCCTCTCTTCTTGAAAGTCTCCTAGTGAAAGAGAGATGTTCTCTGAGGAATTTAATCAAACACCTTCTGTGCTAGATGTAAAGGAAAATCTCTAGGACGGAGCTCTGCGTTTAAGAGAAAAAAAAAAGTTTTAAAATTGGGAAAGAAGTAAAACTTGAAGGCCCAAAATGAAATAAAACTAAAATATTTCGCTCAACTTGAAGGCCCAAATCGAGTACTATTGATAGGCTCAAGTGGGCCCACAAGATGTGTTAATTTCAGAAATTGAGTACTATTGAATCGCTTCGTTTCCTCAGTATCTCGACATTTCGATTTCGCATCTGGTGACTTCGTTTCCTCAGGTAGATATCTGCATCTGGTGACTTCGTTTCCTCAGGTAGATATCCAAATTGCTTGCTTCACTTTCGATTTCGCATCCTTGCTTCAGTATTAATCTCGACATCTTAGCTTCAGTGTTGATATCCAAATTGCAAAATTAGTTTACTCTCTGTATCTAATTTGTCATTTTTAAGTGCATGCTTGTTAGAGATATTTGAATCATGAATGACTGATCCTCGATCAGTACCAAATGTTTGCATATACATCTGAGAGCTCACACTTGAGGATCACCTTCAATCCAGTGCCCTCGGCTGTCCTGAGCATTCCAGTAAATGATATATGTATCAAATTGAAGCGTATATGAGAAATCAAACATCTGATAAAACGTATTACAATGAAAGCTTATCAAATTTATAATTTTTTTTATAACAGAATCTTATAAAATCTTATACTAAACCCTTCAGACGAACTGACGAAGCGTTAAGTGTTATAAAAGCTTATAAAAGCTTATACTGAACCCTTTAGAAGAAGATACGTTTGGATATTTACATAGGCTAATGATGTGTGTTTCTATCTGTATCTAATTTGTCAGTTTTAAGAATTCTCTGAAAGCTGATAATTCTCTGAAAGCTTTTTATGTTGTATATTGATTTTTATGTAGGAACACTTGCTTTAAACACCATGAGTTTCAAAACGCTTGAAATGAAAATGCATATGCACACGTTTCTGGCTTGGAAATTGGACCCAAGAGTGGGTCTGAGCTTGTGGAATCCACATGTTTTCGGTGGTTTTTGAAACTCAAAAATGATCTTTATAGGCAAGATAGTAATCTTCTTACTGCCCTTGCCTCGATGTATGATGAGAGTAAAGATCATTTCATCATTGGGAATCCTAAGATGGATATCGATTTTGGTCTAGAAGACGTTTTATATATTACAGGTCTTCCAATTGATGGAGAACAGGTATTTATCTTTTCTTTTACTTCAACATATCTTTAGTTTTAGTTATTCGATTTCTAATGCCCAATTTGAATACAGGTTTCAGGATTAGAGAGTGAAAACATCACGAATACAATCATGCATCATTTTCAGATAACTGAAGAGAGGGCTAAGTCATTAATGAAGAATTCCGGTATTGATCTCTCAAGATTGAAGCTGGAATTTGAGATGGTACCACAAGGGAATGAGGTTGACTTAGAGCCTTATTTCAAGGCTTATCTCCTCTTATTGTTGGGAGAAGTCATACTCCCAAACAACAGCAGCTCTTTTTCTCCCATGTACCTACCTCTTCTTGGATTGAATGATGTCAACCACTATGCTTGGGGGGCAGCTATGTTGGCGAATATGAAAGAAGCTCTAGAAAAAGTGAAGACAGCTGAGAAATTCACAAGCTTATGTGGTTTCTCGTACGCTCTCACGGTAAGTTCTTTAAAAAACAAAAGGTAATTAATATGATTCATAATAAATCAATGATGTACAATGACAATTATTGTTCTTTATCTTTTTCTTACAGGTTTTTGCATTAGAGCGGTTTCCAGACCTTAGAGAAAGATGTGGATCATCACCTCTACCATCCGGATTTCCCTTGATTTTGGGGTGGATGGAGGCGTTGAGTAAACCGAATAAAGACACGAAGAACGTAACGTCTGTGGAAGACTACCAAAAGAAGCTTCAAGAGATGAAAGAAAAAGACGTAAGACCTTAAACTCTTGTTTCTGTTTTTAAATACATATAAATTGAATATATATCGTTATAAATTGAATATATATCGTTTTTAACTAAATATTTCACTAAATAATTTCATAGGTGGTGTGGCAGCCTTATAAAAATCGTGACCTTAAACTGTCGGAGAAGTATGCATCTCAGTTACCTATGGTCTTTTCACGCACACCATGTTCGTGCTTTAATGAAGGTGCGTATAATCGTCCAGATGTGTGTTTTAAGCAATTAGGATTGGAGAAGTCGCAATTCAAAACATTGTGTCCAAAGATTAAGAAAGGGACGAAATTGAAACTGAGCAAACATAAAGACAAAAATTGGAAATCTGTCAGACCTTACTACAAATTCGTGACTGAGCAGTGGACTAAGCGATATGAAAATTTTATCTGTGAAATTGCTCGAGATGGGGTGACGAGTGTTCCTGAGGTGAGTTGATTATTTAAGTTGATTTTTTTGGTTGTCTTTGTGTACTTCGTATTATTGTCTTTGTCTCC